CTTTTCCTTGAAACAAATTTCGTCTCCCTTGAGACAGTTTCTTTTAGAACTAAGTTTTGTCTCTCTTGAGACAGTTTCTTTTGAAACAAATTTTGTCCCTCTTGAGACGGTTTCTCTTGAAACACAAAAAAAAACACCCTCGAAATTATTTCTCTTGAAACACACACACAAAAAACCTTTGAAAATGTTTCTCTTGAAACACCAAACCCTCGAGTTCGATTACACTCAGCTTCGAGGGCGCATAATTTACAACATAACTCAAGGCTAGAAGGGTTATCTGTCACCAAAAGACCTTCGAGTTCGACTATGCTCAGCTCTAAGGCACATCATTTACAGCATAACTCAAGGCAAGAAGGGCTATATGTCAATAAAATTGTTGAGTTCGATTCCATTCAGCTCGATGACACCTCAATCACACTATTGTCCGGCTGCAATCGAGGTTTTTCAAGCCGAGAAGAAGGTCTGGGTTAGCCGTGCCTTAGTAGCAAGAAGCCTTTTTTCCGTCAGCATAGCTTAAGTCGAGAAAAGCTATCTGTCAGCGAAGACTTTTCGAGTTTGGTTTCATTCAGCTCGAGGGCATATCAACCACATTATGGAGTCAATAGATTACTTTCCAGTCGAATTTTTAGCCAAGGTCTTTAAACCGAGAAGAAGACCAAAGTGGACTACAACGAGAAGCCGCATTCTGATTCAAATCATTTCAAGATGGACTCGACTTCGCGACGGAGGAGCCATCTGCAATTCAATTCGACAAGGAGTTATTCTTCAACTCCACTGAACGAAAATTTGTGTCTTTTTTTCTTTGTCATATTTTTCGTTCCACGAAAAAGGACAAAGAGGGGCAGCTGTAGACACACATTTTCTTAAAAGATAGAACTAGCAAGAGTTTTTCTCTTAGGAGTACTCTTTCACCACCATATCTTTTAAAGCAACAACCACACCAACAAACGTGCAACAACCGAGCAAGGAGTCTAGTTGCATTAGGATTCTATTGTTAATAGGATTCTAAAAATAGTTAGTTTTTTCACTATAAATACATGTAATCCTCCCCATTTATAACACGCGATTTATATACAAAATACAAAGGAAAGCACGAAAATACAAAGACAAAGCTATTGTAAACGATTCGAAAAGGAAATAAAAGGTAGCATCTTTTTTACTTTTGATTCGGTCTCTTACATTTACGTTTTAATTATTATTATTTTATTTATTTAACTTTATTTATACGCACATTTCCCTTGTTACTCATTTTATTTAATTGTTTTGTTATTTTTTTTTCATGTAATATTTTTATGCATTTTTTTTACTTTAGTATATATTTTTATTTTTTTAGATTATATATTATTTTTTATTATCAGTTTTATTAATTTTTATATATATATATATATATATTTACTATTTTTTTTTTTTTTATTATATATATATATATATATTATTTTTATTATTTTTATTTGTTTTATTTATATATTTGTTTTCTTTTTATTTTACTTACTATTTTATCTTTATTTTCTTTATCTTATCTTTTATTTAATTTTTTTTCTTCATTTTAATTTAATTAATTTATTTATTTCTTACATTTTTATCTAACATGGTTTTTTGACCTTCTTAAGGTCACACCATTAAAACTATCTAAGGTAAGTAATTGTGATCGTATTTTTACCTTTTAATTTTAAATTACAATTTTCTTAATTTAAGACAACCGGCAAATTAATTGGTACCGAAAGAGCGGTTCAAGGGTGTTAATCCTTCCTTGACCGTAACCGACTCCCGAACCTGACACATTTCTGGTAAAAATGCAGATCAGGTAAGATGGTGTCCGACCCATCTAAATTCGTTTTAAAGTGGTCGGTTTAATTAATTAATTTATTTCTTACCTTTTTATCTAACATGGTTTTTTGACCTTCTTAAGGCCACACCTTTAAAACTATCTAAGGTAAGTAATTGTGATCGTATTTTTACCTTTTAATTTTAAATTACAATTTTCTTAATTTAAGACAACTGGCAAATTAATTGGTACCGAAAAGGCGGTTCAATGGTGTTAATCCTTCATTGACCGTAATCGACTCCCGAACCTGACACATTTCTAGTAAAAATGCAGATCAGGTAAGATGGTGTCCGACCCACCTAAATTCGTTTTAAAGTGGTCGGTGGCGACTCCTAACCCAATTATTTCAAGTCGAAGCCCAATTCGGGGCCAACCGAAAAACGGTTACGACACAAGGTAAATCTGCTGTTAAGATTAGATTGGTACGCAAACCGTATGACGATATTGATAGTTTTTAAAACTATGATTGTTTAACGAACCTTTAGAAGAAAATATCCATGTCATTAGAATTAACAAACACCTCTTGCTTTACATAATTGGTGTTTGCAGGTAAAAACGACAATTGGAACAATGTATCAGAAACAGCAGCAGCAGAGTGGCTTCCAAAAGAGTTAAAACAAGTCTTCTGATCATTTGAATTGGTTTCAGTTCTCTAATGTAGCAGGAAGTGTTAATTACCATGCGTATAAGATGGCAATAAATGCTGTGGAAGAAAGGGTGTTGGTTAATTTCATTGGCATCAGTTCTCGACCCTAAGCGGCTGGAGGGGTCTCGGTTTAACAATCCGTTAATCAACTGCCTAGCTGCAAGACTAGCCTGCATTTCAGTTCAGCAGCAGAGGTAAACAATCATATCACACAAGCTGGTTCTTGTACTTCTTCATACTGATTGTAGTTCAAAATCCATAAAGATTATGTTTTGCCAACATTATGCTGAGCAATTCTGCTGTCATCTTCGAAAAGATGGTGAAAGTCATATCATCTGCTTATGAACATTAAGGATGAATTGCAGTCATTTTACTCGAGCAATGTATTCTTCGGTTCCATCGAACGAATTTGACTCTGTAGATGGTTCTGCACCAAATGTTGGCGGTGGTTGAGTCCTAGATTTTCTTCTCTTGTTGGGCATGGGATGCTTCAAAACCTGTAAATCATTATAAACTCTTAATCTCATACAAAAACTATCATTATTAATCGAACAATCTTATCAAATACCAAGTAAAAACATATAGAAGAATAAAAAATGACCTGATTTACTACAGACTCGAATAAAATTGAAACCCAAAATAGTCCGACCCAACCTGAATTAAGTCTAAATCAAAATGACCTGAATCGAACCCGATCCGAATGACCCGTTTGCCCCATCTAATGGTTAACCATTTTACTTTTATAATGGACTTTTATAAATAAATAAATAAATATTAGAGTGGGATTTGGGTCGAGTTTTGTAAAAAGCTATACAAACCTTATATGTTAGGGTTGATAGATGAGAAATGTGAATGAAATCAATGGTTTAGGGTTTATTTGATTCTAGAAAATATAAGTTATTTCTATTTTCATTTTTTTAGAAAATAGAAAATGTTACAAGAAAATGTGTTTAGTTGTAAAATTAGAAAATCATTTCTAAAAAAAAGTGAAAATATAAAAACATAAATAAGATATTTTCAGTATTTTCATTAAAATTATTTTTGAAATTTGAAAATAGAAAAAATAAGGTATCTAGAATTTTTATCTTAACTTACACGAGTTCAAATCTTTCTAACAACAATTTTTTGACTGTATATGAAACCCTCAAGTTTTTTTTAAAAAATAATATGACCCCTAAACTTTTTTAACATTCAATATGGTTTTTAGACTGATTTTTTTAATAATTTAATAATTTAGTATTTTTATATTCAATGTATTGGATATCTTAATAATTATTTATATTTTATATTTAAAATTAAATAATTTCTCATTTTTTAAAAAATTAAATAAGTCTTCAAACTGTTTAAAAAATCAATGAAGTTCTCGAATTTAGTCAAAAAATTAAGTAAGCTCATCTATCACATCATCGTTCATCGTGTACTGTCAATATATCATCGCGAACTATCACATCAACATTGTAGATTTCTATATAAACTTTGTGAATTGTTATGTAAACGTCGTAACGATAAACGTTTGATTTTGTTAGTTAAAAGGTTTGATTTTTTTCTAAGTTTAAGAATCACATTGAATGCAAAAAAAATAATAATGATTGCACTATTTTTTTCTTCCAAAAGTTTGAGGGACATAATACCATTAAACATATATTCTTATCATAAACTAAAATAATTTTTATGTATTTTTTAATTTAATTGATATCTAATAATATAATATACATTAACATTGTATTTTTATTATAAACTAAAACAATTTTTATGTTATGAAATTTCTTATCAACTTTATTATTTTATATTTACATAATTCACATGTTAGATTTACTAAATGAATTTTTTTAATAATTATATTTTAATTCAATTATCTACCAACTATTTGTTCATCTCTATTTTTAAAAAATTAAAAATCAAATATATTTTCATTATTTTTATTTTTAAGTTCAAGTTTTTATTTATATTAATCAAACACTTTTTTTAATTTTGGCTTAAGGTTACAATTGTCCCTGTAGGATATCAAATTTATTATTTTTGTCCTTATCGTATTTTCGTATCAATTTTACTCTAGAAATTATTGATTAACAAAACCGTTAAATTCTGCTGACGTGGACACCAACTGTTTCCATCCCATATAATTTTACTAACGTGTCAACCACGTGGCAATAACAAATAAATATTATTTTTTTTAAATAAACAATAACACGGTCTGAGTCTTAAAGATAGAATCTTTACCAAAACAAACTCAGAGGGTTGTCATTGGCCGGAGAAGAGCAAGCAAACCAGACAGACAATGAGGAAGATATTAGGAGATAAACCGAACAGAAAATAAATTGAATTGTTGTTTGGATGAATAGAAAATAAATTGAACATAAAAAAGGATCCCATCAAATTCTCGGCAACCAAACAGATGAAAAACCGAGGAGACCATCGAAAGGTCCTTGATTAATTACAATATTTTCGATCAAAATCCGAAAGGTAAACCCATGATTGTATTGATTTGGGAAAAAAATCTAAAGGAATAATAAGAAAATTGAAGGGGGAAACGAGCGATTGTCATTTGATTTTTACCTTGTTGAACTGAAACCATTCGTAATAAGGCGGATCGCTCTCTCTATCTGTTTCTTGAGAATTGCTATGCTTGTTCTAAATCCATGGAAGCCGAGAAATCTTGGTTTCCTCACAATCCCTGCTTTACTCCCCATTTTCCCTTAACCAAATTAAAAACAAAAAACGCGTGCTCTGAGTTTCCTTTTTCTTTGGACAAGGAAATTCAAATTTGGGTTGCTAAATTTATAGGCCAAAGTCTAGAATGTAAATAATCTGGTCTGGCAGTGGCAGACTTGACGGTGAAATCATAAATATTAAAAAAAAAATGACAGCTTAGAAGGAACAAGCTTTACTGGGATTTAATCAACGAAACGAAACGAAACAAGCAAGTATAAATGAGATCTAAGAAAAAAAAAGATACTGTAGGTTCCTTCTTTCCGACGTCGAAACCATAAGACGGTCAGCGGCGGCGAATGGAGTTGTTTTACTTCAAAGGAGCCGATAAGTTTTTCCAAGATCTACAGCAAACGACAACGATTTGGGGAAAACGGAATTCAGATCCATGATCAGGAGGTCGAAGCGAGCTAACTGGTGAAATATGATCTTTACCGACCACCGAAAATGGCGGCCGATGCGGTGTCACCTGCGATCGATCGGTGAAGTACCTGGAAACCAATAGAGCAACCATGCTTAAGAGTGAAGAGCACGGGTGGAAGAGGAAAGAAATAAAGTGGGAAAAAATATATATTAAAATGGTGAAACATATTTGATTCCGAAACTACATAGTTTTGGGCGGTAGAAAAAATAAAAGGAAAAATTATAACTTTAATCCTTTGACGTGAAAATAATTGGTTAGTTGGTGTTCACGTCAACGGAAATCAATGATTTTGTTAGTTATTACCGTTATAAGTATAAATTGATATAATTAAATAACTTTGAGAGAAAAATTAATATAAAAATACGATATGGAAGAAATTGATAAATTTGATCTATTACAAGGGTAACTGTGACCTTTAAACTTTTTAATTTTTTTTAAAAAATGAATTATTATTTTTAAATAAAAACAAAAAACATTTTCTAAAATCAAACGAAATCTTAATTTTTTTTCTCCCGTTACTGCTGATCTTTCTGTTCTTTTAGTCTTTAGTGATTCCTATTTTCTTTTGCTTTCATGATTTAGTTAGTTACAAAATTTTAGATGGTTTATTCATTTTTTAGATCCGATAACTGAACCCCTTTTATTTATTTTTTCTTTATTTGACTTATTTTATATGATTAAGAAAGTGTTATTCTCTTCAGATTTTGAATTTAAACAGTTGTATTTATAAAATATATAATTTTCATGGACTATTAAAAAAATAATAAATTAACATCTCATTTCTAAGAAAAAAAAAACTGAAAATAAAACATATGGTACGCAAAACGGTCGGTTAAAGTTGCATGTCGAATGTTTTTTTTTCTTAACCTATGATATTGTGTTTGTTTTCGGTATCTTGTGGCATATATTGAGTTTGTTTAAACCCACTCTCGTTCATTATTAGAGGCAATGTGAGACACATTTGGCTAAAGTTTACGTATGCAAATTATAATAGAAAGATAAATATATGAGTTAAGATCCACTTACACAATGTAAAACTTTTTAGTTTTACACAGATTTAGATCATTGGATGAGTGAATATATAACTCATATTAATGGTATGATATGTCATATGTGAAGATATTCCCTTGGGGGGAAAAACAAGAAGTCATTCTTGCTATACATAGCTAATGAGTTAAGTATAAAATTCGAAAAGGAAAAAAAAACTGAAACTCTAAGATAAGAAGCAAAACCCATGCAAGAGAGATGCAAAACATAAAAAGAAAAAGCTTGACAGAGGTTGAGACGTCCCAAATCCTATTGAAAAAGGGCATACAACATTACATTCTACTCTCATGTCTCAACCTACAAAACTCGGGAAGGTTTCTTATATAAATTACTCGTCCCCTTATTCACCATGTAGAAATTCCTCAAAAAAAAAAAGGCACTAGGTTTATAATATTTGCAGAATGTAACATACACATACCATTGGCATTGCCAATACTTCAACCCTTCAAAGGAAGGCGTCCTTCTCCAGCAATTTTACTACCTCATTCTGATGGTTGAACTTGGCAACATCGATGGGAGTCTTTCCATCCAAGTTTTGGAGAGTGCTGCAGTCAATATGAAAGCAAATAGCCAGTACTCACTCCTGAGAGACCACCTCACTGTATATCTTAAACCAAAGACACTTGGTACTTACACAGCAGCTCCGTTTTCCAGTAAAAGGGCCACACACACTTTCCTTCCATAACCAGGTGTGTAATGAAGTGCAGTATTCTTATTCTTGTCCAAAGCATCCACTTTTCACCTGAAATAAAACCAAAATAGTATTTGCTTTTACCCCCATAGAAAATAAGCCTCAAGAAACCAATAATTTAATCTCGGACAAGGACAAGCTCATGTATGCTGCTAGATTATATCCATCCTTTTTCTTGTCTTGTCATGCATTGCCCTAAGTTGGTAGAATACATCTCAAAAGTAATAAATCTATCATTTTTAAAGTAAATGTATTGAATAGGCCCACTAGATGGCAATAACTACAGTAAAAATAAGAAGCTATCACTGCTTGGTAGCCAACAGATTCCATGATAAACTAATATCAGATAAAATAATAACAAGAAAAGCCTGATTTAATTGTTTCAGTCTTTCAGATATGTATTATAAACAAAAATCCAAAGATGAGATGGTACAAATAAAAGGATGCTTTAATCCAAGTCCTACATTCCAACTGCTTTTGGCAGTCTATTATCAGGTTCAATATTTGTTCTTCCTAAAACTTACACTAAATGAAGCTATTAAGAGGCGCTTAGTGCACTAAATGTGGTTATTTGGTTATGATGTAAAGAGAGTAAACAATTAGAGATTGGTATTGGATACTTGTATTATTGATTAAAACCATCTGACTTCCCACACCAAGTCACCAACTTTACCCTTGTAAGATGAAACTACTACATTTGTTATGTCATGCAGTAGTGTAGAGAGAGGGGAAGGGAAGGGAAGGGAGGAGGAGGGAAGAGTGATTCAGATATAAAATTGTTATTACTTCACCATAACCACAAGCAAAATGCAAAGCAGTCCTTCCCTCTGAATCTTCATCATCCTTATCAGCACCTGAGGATAGTGCAGCTTTCAAACCCTAAGGCACGAATACAGTCGAGAGATTTTAGATCATCTGTCAAAGGGGAAAACATAAGTAGAAAACATTCATTCTACCATACCTCAACATCACCAACACTAGCAGAATGATGTACAATTGATTCATCATCATTTCCTGCTTCCTCCTCTTCACCTGCTGCAGAGTCGCTAGCAGAAGTGGTTGCATCTCCTGAAACAGCAAGACCCATTGCTTCACCCAACTTCTGCAGAACGTCTTTATCATTCCAATACCTAAACCATAAAACCTTTCTTGATAATTATACTGAAGAAATCATAGGATGCAAAATCATACATTTTAAAGAAGAAATTGTTATGCCCACAAGCTTATCATATTATGGTTTCCAATCTCCCAGTATTTTACCGTTTGAATCACTCACCTCATCATTGCTGTGGGGCCACCAGTCTCTATTTCTTCTAAAACAGGTTTCAAGGACGGATCTTCTTTTATACGAGCCATCCTTTCCTCAATCTGGTCTTTTTGTTGAGGGTTAGCCAAACTGTCAAGCGTGCTAGACATGGCTGGATCCTGAAGAAGGACAACCAAAAGTTCATCTACCAGAAGTGATTCATGCAATTTAATATTAGGGGAAAATACTAGAAGAATTGACCACATACCTGCATTAATGCATTACCAAGGCACTCAGCCATGGTCATAAACTGGGGATTCTGCATAACCTGTTGCATAGTTGCATGGTACTGTTGTGGATCAAAATGTGGCATGCTCTCTTCAGTTGCTGGCCCTTGAAAAGTTTTAGTAAGCTGCTCTGCCATTTGATTAAATGAAGGATCTTTGGCTATCTGCTCAGCTAATTCCTTGATACTTGGATCCTAACAAACCAAGATGGTTAGCATCCATATAGACATAAATTTTACTGCCAGTTCTGAGCAATTCCATTCCTTGCTGAAACGGTTAATCAATGAGATCAACCAGAAACCTATGCTCTACTACTGCAGCCTTAGAAAGGGCACATCCCGAAAAACGACGGAATCAATGAGTTCTAAATATTCCACACAATAATTAAAACAAAAGGCAAGATGCTTACATTAGGAAGGCCGCTCATGGCAGAGAAATCAAACGGATTCGGCGGGGCAAACCCAGGAGCAGGCGACAGGGGCAGTACCTGTTTGTGCTGGTTGTAAGTCCCCAGCAGAAGGCTCCGGTTTTGAAGTTTTCTTATCAGTGGTGGATGTTTCGGGTTTTGTACTTTTGCTCTCTGAAAAAAAAACAAGTCACGTCTGGATTCATCAACATTAACCCCAAACAAATTCAAATTACTCAATCCCTAACACGACTGCTAGAGCTCAACTCATTAAAACTGAAAAGGTATAGGCAGCATCTTCGAATTGGAAATCAGATCAATGCGATGGATAAACTTAGAAGTGAAAAAGGAATGACCAGAATAACCTAAAAACAGTAAATTAAACGACGATTAAGATATAAGCACGAACAGCACAGATAGATCTCAGAACAAATTCAAAATAGTGATGAAGAAAGAGAAGGAAAGGGAAATATGAGATTAAGCTCACCGGCAGCAGTGGGTTCCTTCTTCAAATTGGAAGCCATGGTGGAATAGCTGGAAACAACAAAAAGTTCTAGAAATGAGTAATCTAAAAGAAGAAAAATTAATCAGAAATTAGATTGAAACATTGATGACGATTATTTTATTTTTTATTTTTACTTTTTTATAATATATTTGAGATTAAAATGAAAAAAATGGAAAATATAGATATAGAGAATGAATGGAAAATCTTCTTACCGTTGTTTCTGACACAGTGGAAGTACGAAGATAGGAAGCTAAGACCAAATGCTTAGTGACTGTTAAAGCAGCTAAAATAACAGCTAATTATTTTATATTTTTGCAGGTGTTATTTAATTATTAATAATTTTATTTTTTTTCACTATTTTAAATATATTCATACATTTATATCATATTCGAGTTGTCACATAATATGATGAAATTATGTTATCAATACCCGTGTTATGTGCAAATCATTGATTTTAATTTTAATATTTAATTTAATTATTTTAAGTTGATGCATATTTCAAAATTTAAGAGTTTAATTTCTTATTTAAATTATAGTGACTAAATCTGTTGGATTTATTTATATTATTAATTTATTAACTTTTATACTACACTGAACTTGTAAATTTAGTCATTTGTCTCTAATTTAAGAGTTTAATGTTCTTTCTAATGATCTTATATTCTAACGGTTGGGTTTGTAAGGTATACATATATTATCAGAAAGATTTTAACTAAATACATCTTAAAATCACACTAAACTATTAAAAAAAGTTAATTGCATTATAAGTCTTCAAACTGTGGTTTTAATTTTAAATTAGTCATTAAACTTCTAAATGTTCCAATTTCATCCTTAATATATCACTATCATTATAAATTAGTCCTCAAACTTTTGAATATTTTAGTTTCTTCCCTAAACTATATCATTCATTCTAAATTGGTCCCCAAACATTTTTCAACTTTTCAATTTCATCCCAAATTATATGTAATACTAATCACATTCCATGTTAACAAAATCGTTAGGTCAAGTTATATTATTATATGTTTGAATAAAATAAAGTTTATATTAAATTATGGTTAAAATTAATTACATATTTGGATGAATTTGAGAATGAAATTAAAAAATTTAAAAGTTTAGTGACTAATTTGGAATAAGGGTTATAGTTTGAGGATGAAATTGGAATGTTCAAAAGTTTAAAGACTAATTTAGAATGAATATCATAGTTTGAGCATGAAATTAGAATATTTTAAAGTCTAAGGACTAATTTAGAATAAAGATTATAGTCCGGGAAATATGTTACAATTAACTAAAAAAAACTCCAACTTTTGAGCCCACCTCTTAGAGTTTTAAGTTGAACTTGAGTCAACAAGTTTATATTTTGGTAAAATTCTCATTTAGCCCCCAATGTTGATGTTTCTCACTTTAGCACCTAAAGAAAAAATTTCATTATTTTTCTGTGTAAGTCATAAATGTCCTTTGTTTATCTGTTTAATAGTTTCAAAGATAAATTTCATTGAATCGAATAAGACTACAAAAATGGCAAAATTCTGTCATCAAGTTTGGTACATAAAGTTGTCAATTTTTATTTTGTTAGTTTCTTGACTAATGTCATTGGTCAAAAAACTAAATGTGATAACAGTTGAAGGTCTAAGTATAAAAATAATTAATTAATTTTATTTTTTTTATCGATAGGTTTAATATCCGAATAATTAAGTGCTACAGGTCAAGTGTTGTCTGCCTCGTCCACTGTCCATGGGGTATGGTGTCGTCCACCGGTTAACACTGTTAAAATCAACGTCGAGGGAGCTGTGTCTGCCATTGGAGTTGTTGGTCGTGACTCCCATGGCCTAGTTCTTGCAGGTCACGCTCTGGGGTTGGGTGATGCCAGTATTGTGGAGGAAGGTGTTCGTCCTGGCAGCATAACATGTGATCGTCGAGAGTGGCTCTTCCAATCTAGTCCGTCAGCTTGTCTCTCCCGCTCTCGACTTGTCCTTCCATCTTGTTGAGGCTAAACAGATCCTTGCTTCACATATCCAGGTCGCTTTTGTGCGTCGATCGGGCAATGTTGCCGTGCATGGGCTTTTGTGTTTCTAGTTGAGGTCGCTTAATCCAAGTGTTTGTTAATCAAATGGTTAAACCAAAGTGGCATTCCATTGCTATATTCCTTGTATCGTTTTACAAAGGGATTACATTGGCCCATAAGAAAAATCTACTTTACAAATTCTGCAATGGCTCTCACAAAGCAGTAACTTGAGCCAACCAAGGAAGCAACTTATGATGAACTAGCTTAGGTTTATCATCGTGGGGGCAATGCCCTACACCTTCCAACATATGAAGGCTTACATTTGACGATTTCGAAGGTAAGGAAGAGAAGAACTTACCTACGGGACAGTCGATCGGGGTGAACGGATCTTGATCCCCCCATAAAACAAGGACAGGTAAGTTAATTCTCGGCATCAATTGGACGGGGTTCGGCCCTGGTGGACCAGTTATAATCGAGACGAAGGCATCGAGAGCACCTTCATCGTTTGCTGGTCCGTTGATGATCTGCATTGTAAAAGAACATCAATAACAAGTTCAATACTTTGTGTTAGTAAGGCAACGGGATCAATAGCCAAACCTCAACCAGTTCATCATCCACAGACTCTTTGTTTCCATAAAAAGAAAACAAAATGCTCCTTAGGTTATCTCTGCATTAAACACAACCGGATGAGTAACAATGATCTTCAGTAGGAAAAAGAAAAGAAAACGGTTGAACCGCATGGAATACCTTTGCTTGGCACGCTCGAAGACGGCCTCAGTGATCGGTCTTTGCTTCAGTAAGAAATCAAACAACAAAAGCAAAGGAAACAACAGCTTGATCCTCCAATCATCAATAATTGCCTTGTTGTTCATCCTGCCGGCACAATTCAACAGCACAATCCCTCTAACCATGTTTCCACTGGAATCTTGTACCAAGCAGAGCATATCATCACAAACCAAAACATGGGTTTTCCAACACTGTACTACAAAAACAAGACAATGAAATTCAATGTTTTTTTAACTACCTGAAGCAGCTATCACACAAGAAAGACTTCCAACAGAGTTACCAATCAAGACAGTAGGCTTCTGAACAACTTCATTCAAGAAATCCTTTTATTACTGAGTTCACTCAATGGGTTCAGATTAATTCTGACTTAAATAAAAATGCCATTTTTGTGAGTTTGGGGATGCTTCCATGCAATATGAAATACCTTGAGGCTTATCTGAGTCACCAAAACCCAGAAGATCAATTGCATAAACAGTGTAATCCTGAGCCAATGTGCCAATATTCCTACAACAAATGCTAAGTAATTAGTTCAAATAATAAAATCATCCAAATAATTGAAAACAATCGTTTTTTCCACTTTGGGTACCTTCTCCAATGAGGAATGGAAGCACCGAACCCGTGAACGAGAAGCAAAGGAGGACTCGAAGGGGAAGAAGAGGAGACAAAGTAGTTGATGGAGTACTGGCCTTTCCATTGCCACTTACTGCATTTCTCCTTTATCTGACTCAGTCCTAACACGCTGCCATCGGACTCAAGTGATGAAACGACGGTTACCAATACTATAGGCGCGACCAAGAATAGGAAGCTTGTTACTGTGAAGTTGAGGAGGGAAAGCCAGTCCTCCTTTGACTCTGGGTTCTTTGACCGTCGTTTGCGGCGGCGAATGCAACAAACGGAGACAAGCCACCACATTGGGAAGAGCCGTGGCTGTAATCTTTAGTTTCTTCTCCACTCAAGTGGTTTCTCATCCCCTCAATTTGATTCCTTTCTCATATGCGGGAGTTGTGTGTGGCGCTGGTTGCATTTGGACTTTGGATGGCTAGTTCTCACCTCTTGCTCGGTAAACGACGGGATATCACTTAATTATTATCTATTTTCATTTTAATTAGGCGATTTTACTGAAAAATCACCATGACAGAAAATAATTATCTTTCATACACCATTTCTTCAAATTTTACTAATCTAGCACACTTTCTGACAAGGCGCGGATCGTCATCTGCACTTTTTCAGGGTTTCGTCCAAGCTGGCGTCACATCATGAAAGGCGCGGATGACGCCATGTAATGACGATCGCGGATCGTCATCTGTACCTTTCTGGGGTTTCTGACACGTGTCTTTTATTATTGGTTTCGAAAATCTCGGCCTTTAAACTCTCCCTATAACACCCCAATCATCGGGTCAGTGACCAAAATATAAGAATTTAAAACTTAGTGGTTTAATTAGAATAGTTTGAAAAGTTCAAGGATTTATTGTGGAAATTTTGTATAGGATTTAATATCAAATTTGGAATTTTAAAAGGGTATTATGGTCTTTTCACAAGAAGAATTTTTATATTTACCTTTATGGGTTATAAAACACCTGGAAGTGAAGGGATAAGTCTGGAAACTTAAGTTATCTTCTTTCTTGTTGCTCGTGGAAGCCATTTCAAAGGTGAGTAACTTTATTTGATGGTTTACTGAAATTTTTGGTTTGGTGTTGAAAACTTGAGTGTTGTATAATATTAAGGAAAGCTTGTAAGGGATTTAAAACAACAAGAGGAGTGAAATAGAAATGAATTTGTAAAATGGTTTTGAAATGAATTGTTGATATGGTATAGTTTTTGGAATTTTATTGATATATTTGACTTGTCAATGATCTAACTAAAGAGTTAGGAGTATTAGAAATGATTAAGAACTTGTTTGAAATCATGGTATGATTTTGAGATGAAAGAGTTTTAGTGAGATTTTGTATGTTTAAGAGTAGTAAATGAAGACAAGTTGGTTTGGATAAATGAAGTTGAGTTTAAAGGTAAAGTAGGAGATTAGTTAAGTTTTTGGTTAAATTTTGAAATGGAAATGGTAAATTTTGGGTAAGGGTATCGGTATTGGAAGAACAATACTGATACTTTAAGGCTAAACCAATTGGAATTCGAGGATCAGTATCGGTACTGTTTGAGTGAGGTACCGATACTAAAAAGGGAGTATCGATACCAAGAGTAAGGTATCGATACCATTTTCAAGTTGAAATTCCAGTATATCGAAATGGTATCGGTATCGAAGGGGGGTATCGATACCATAGAAGGGAAGTATCAGTACTGTAGTGGGAGTACCGATAGCATGAAATGATAAAATAAGTGTTTCTTTCAGCTTAAGTTATTATGATTGGATATAAGCGATTCAAATTTCGATATTTATTTTCGATTGTTTTGTGTAGATGTTGAACAAAATCAACTTCTGGTCAAATTGACGTTGTAAGTTATCGATCAAAAGTGTTAAGGATTTCGTTTTGGACTTTAGTGAGGCAAAGGTGAGTGCAACTTCTTGGTTTTGTATTAGAATTGATGAAGGCTTGCGATAAGCCAACCTCAGTGTTTTCGATCGAAAACCTTCCAATTTCTTTTATGTTATATTTTTACAATGTTTTATTCAAATTATATTATGTAAGCTATGTTGATGATTATGTGTATATGATTATGAAAATGTGACCTGTGAACATGTGTATCCAAAAATACTCAATGTGAATGTGCCTATGTGAATAAGAGATACTTCGAATAAGGAATGAAAAAAAATTATGTGGTAGAAAGCCCAAGGTATATGTATGAGGATTAGAGGTATAGTTGGCATGCCAAGAGTCGAGGGTTCTATGTGGTCATTCGTAACAAAATTTTGTGGTCCTTTGGGACAAAACCTATATGGTCCTTCAGGAAAAACTTATGTGGTCATTCGGGACAACTATGTGGCACTTCGATGCAAATTATACGAGTTTTGGTGACAGCATTAGTGCACAACCTCAATGTACTCAAATACCTAGAGTTCTTAGTAGTATATGTTGGGCATTGGAAATAAAGTTAGATAAAACAAATAATGTATAAAAGTATACTTTATGGTTATGGAAAACAAATTAAGAATTCTTTATGAAATATTTCTATTAAATAAATAAAGATTTCGTTTATAAATTTAGTTTTCTCTCATATTTACCTCACTAAGTCATCGACTTAACGTGTGATTGTTTCAAACGTAGGTTTGAAGAAATCAGAAGAGTGAAGCTAGTCGAGAATAGCATACTCCCTTGAAGATCAGATCAAGACAAATTGAATGTAGGTTTTCTATAATTTTGTAAACTGTTGGCATGTACTATATGTTTAATTTGAAATGCTCTGATCTATTTTTGTAAACTCATACTTTTATATTTATGTAAATTATTAAAAACTTTTATTTAAGTATGAATATGGGTTATTAAACACTTTACATTAAAAGGTTTCAACTTGTCATTATGAATAAAAGTTAAATGTTTCCTTATTTGTTGTGAATCAATGTTTTGAAAAGTCAATGTGACACCTCAGATTCGTATCCGGGTCGGGTACTGGTTAGGGGTGTTACACTCCCCTCGCCTATAAATAACACCCCTTCAACCCTAAACATCACCACATCAATTCCTTCTATTTTTGCTTCATTAATTCCTTCGATTTTTTGTTGTAAGGTAAAATTATTTTTTATACTATATTTATTTTATATATGATTATTTGAAAAAATATTATTGTACTAATTATTTTGTATTATTTTTTGCGTTTGTAAAATTGGAAAGTAGGATCATACGTTGAGACATTTTTGCCGATATGGTAACATTATAAAATTATATTATTTAAATTATTGTGAAATTTTTTAAATTTTTTTATTAGGTTATATTTTAATTCATATATTATTTATTTAATTAGGCATATTTCAGCTATTTTTTACTATGATAGAAAAATTCAGGAAGATGAAACCGGCGTCGTGTTCGTATCAAATCATTCTGTCAACATATTCTTCAAGAGAAACATAACTCTTGAGGAGCTGATAACGAAGATTTCAAGGAAGGTGCATGTTAGAAGTATTAGAAGATTGTTTCTCACTTCAGTACAAATTTCCAACCGCATCATTTTCTTTAACTTATACATTGTTCGAACTATCCAACGATGACGATGTTGCTATGATGTTTATTCTCAAAATCATTATTCAGATGTTGATACAAAGATGTATGTGAAATTTATTGAAGTACGTGTTGTTCGTGGTATGTCATTTTGCTCCCACTATGGGCTGGCTCAACAAGCTGATCAAGTTGAAAACCTAACTCAAGTAATATGTAATGATTCTAAATCGTTAATAGGAAATCTACATCATGGTGCCATCCCATCAAGTTCAATGGCGAGACATTCATCAACAACTTCTTACGATCTGTACCGATGTGGCTCCACAAACAATCTGTATAGCAACATCGCGTCCAGTTCAAGGGGAAGGCATTCATCTATCAATTTCTTTAATCTAAATATGGAGATGCTCTCGACGCATCAATCTATGCAGTACCCATTTGACACGATGCCTTTAAGCTTCAGGGAGAGGCATTCAACTGCGAGCTTCTTCGACCTCAATGTTGAGATGCCTTCAAGTTCAATGGGAAGGCATGCAACTACCAGCTTGTTCAACCTAAATGTCGACAGCGTGAAGGAACCCTCATCTCTATTAGAAGAACCTCTTCGTGAGCCAGATGCATATGGTACTGAGACTTGACTATTTATTCAGCCAAAATCACAGTAGTTCAACATAGACTCTGATGATGATGATGTAGATGAAGTTCCCACAAATATGGTACATACTAAACCTCCAGTACACATGTATGAAGCTAATTATGGTGCAAATTGTGGATTTAACTCATTAGTCAATGATGGTGAGTTATATAAAGGAATAGAGTTTTCATACAAAGAATAAGCAATGATGGTAATTAAGAATTACAATATTCATAATTTTGTTCAGTCTAGATTCGACTGCTCTACCATCGAAAAGTATGTCTACCATTGTGTCTAACGTGATAACGGATTCAATTGGATGATTCACGTATCGAAGATGAATAGGAAAAACAATACATGTGAACTAATGATATACAAAGATCCTCATACATACTGTGCTGAAGGGATCAACCAAGATCATCCCAACTTAGACTCCGACATTATCTGCCAAACTATCATGCCCATGGTAAAAGCAAGCTCCCATATAGCTATTAATGTGCTGATTTTAGCTATACAATCGCAGTATTGGTATACCGTCTCGTACAAGAAAGCATGGAAGGCAAAGCATAATGCCATTAAAAAACTTCACGACGAATGAGATGCATCTTATAATGAACTACCAAGTTGGTTTAGGGTGGTGCGTAGATTGAATCCTGGGACAACTATCAACTTTGAAACTTTCCATGCATACCACAATGATCGAGTGCTTCGCGATCGATGTCAATTGTACCAGTTTTTTTGAACTTACCCATATTGCATTAATGTTGTGAAATACTACAAGCCCGTGGTCCAAATTGACGAGACATTCTTGTATGGAAAATACAACAAGTTTTACTATTGGTAGCTGTCCAAGATGGTTATCGCAACATACTTCCTGTTGTTTTTGACCTTGTTAGAGGAGAAGATACATATTCTTGGGTTTTTTACTTAGAAACTTACGCTTACATGTTATCACGAGGGAAAATATCTGTGTGATTTCAGATCACGGAGCTGGGATCAAAGCAGCAATGGACTCTTTGGGTCCAATGTGGCAACCACCCTATGTCCAACATCGGTACTGTATCTAACACATTACTACAAACTATCATGGAATGTTCAAGAAGAATTATAAGCGCCAATTACTTGTGCGCATGGGTATGTCAAGATACTATTTTTTATTTGTCAATCATTTTCATTTTTTATGGTAACAAAATTAGTAAGTTCTACATTTGATGCTCAGGTTATAAACTACTACTTGAAAAATTTGAGTCCATGCTTCAAGAGTTACGAGGAAAGAATAAGGAAAGATGTGATTACATCAACCTCATCAATAAAGAATTGATGCAAAATAGTTTTGTGGATCCCTATACCTATTTTCAAAAGTGTTTAAGGTATATGAATTTGAGTCCCCCATAGGTAATGAGAAATACCCTAATGAAGTTTATAATTGGCTTCCGATTGTACTAGATATGTCCTTATTAAGGGAGCTCGATCGTCTAAAATCCACTCGAATTCATTGTGATATGGATATTCAGGAAACGTCCAGAGAAAACAAAAGACGTGGGTATTGTAGAAACCTAGTATACACTAGGAAAAAATGTTCATCTCTTTTTTCATCAAGTAACCGTTGATGTTGTGCTTGATGTAATTGTTATTTATGAAATCTAAGTTTCTATAATTTAATTTTCATTTACTTTCTGTTAATATCATTTGAGCATCACCGATTAATTAAACAAGAAAATGATAAAGCAAAAAAATTAAAAAACACTAAATAATAAAAACATTCGAATAATTAGAAAAAATTAGCAGACAAAATAAATTAAGTAATAAAAGGTAATTAATTAAATAAAAAATTACAATTGTTAGTAAATAAAAAATTAAACACAAAAATAATGAAATGATGAAATCTATCGATGTCTGCGTCTTGAATGTGTTCCACAGGGCGGTGACTGTCTGTCTCGAGGAGGATTTCTTCATAGAACTTGTTTTGACTCCTCACTCTCATCATGATCATCATCACCACCACCACCGTCGCCATCATCATCATAATCATCAGGAGCAGGTATATTTTGTTGATGAAGGACAAATGATGATGTAGTACCTCCATAGAATAAAGACCCTGGAGGTATATAACTGACTATCCCACCGGTCATACAAAACTGTGAAAACTGCGAAGAGACCGACATCGATGAGTGCAAAAATTGTACATGAGGTGTCTATGCGGCGGCCATCGGTGGTGAAGCTTCACCTGTGATACATGCACCAGAGTCCATAATACATGCTTCTTTGGACTAATGTTTCTACTCGAACCTATTAGAAGAACAAAGTCTCGAAGATTCAAAGCATATATATTCGGTAAGTATAATGTGAATAAATCATTAAATGATTCTAATGTTGCTCCCTTTAATGTTTTAGATTCGAGGTCGAATCTTTTTGAAGAAAGGGAAGATGATACGTGCATCACAAGGCTCACATCAAAGGAAGAAGTAATAACTCTTCCAAATGATCCACTCGTCCAAGCATTGGAAAAGAGGATCAAAACAGAGGCAGACTTACGGCGACTTTTTAAATGGGATCCTGATCTTATTTGGTTAATATGTCCTCTGGAGATACGACCGTATGTCTCTTATCTTTCCAACGGTTCTTGAATCGCATCATTCCGATATCGGGAACTCAAGATATGGCCATTTTACTGAAGACGGTGCATGCAGAAAATCCTATACGGGATTAATATGAGATTTTATAAATATTACGAATTCTCAATATTTTTATTGATTATTTGTAATATAATTTAATATAGGATGATGCATTATCTTTTAGGATTAGATTTATTATTTTATTAGTAATTAAGGTTGGGTTAAAATATTATTTTTAGTTATTATTATTTTCTTAGAAATTAGAGTTAAGACATGTTTAGTTTATTATTATTTTATTCATTAGTTATTTAGGACTTTTAGAATTCAGCCGCTATATAAAGGAGACTTCATTCAACTTTGTAATCAAGATTTCTTTGATTAATAATACAACGAGAGTTCATTTTTGCAAGTGCTAATTGCCTTGTGCCTTCGAAGCTTCTTCTCCTTGAGTTCTTTCAAGTTCTTGTGAGGGAGATTAATCTTCACACTCCAATTTGTCTTTTCATCGTGACTAGGAGGGCTTGATAGGACATTATCCATCGATTTTCCACATATCCATCCACGTCTTCAATCATCTTTACCGTTCAGCTTCATAAGGGAGATCTTTTGATTTCTTGGTTATCTTATTTTATTTGCAATTCCTTTATATTTTCTTTATTTTGTTTTAATCTTATTTCTTATCTTGTTTCCAGCACCAAAAAGAAACTCTAAAGAACCCTAGCTGTTGCCACCTTCCCCATTCATCCCTTATTGTTCTTCATCGAGTCTAGATCTTTTCTAGGTTTGATTCTTCAAAAAGAGCAACGTTCATCAATCCGCCACCGCTTCCCTATCAATTGGTATCAGATTTGCGCCGATTCTTGGAAAGAAGCAAGCAATCTTGCTTGTTCTTGCACACAAAACCGTCAAGGTATCCCAACGGAGCTAGTCTAGAAAAGATTCATCGTTTCAGGTTCTTTTTATTTAATTTTAATTTAGATTCAAATCCTTCTTGTTAGTTTGCTATTTTTAAAACAAAAAACAAAAAACAAAAAAACAAAAAAGCCAAAAAGCCAAAATTTCAAAACAAATTTACAAAAGAGGTATTTAGGGCTTATTTTCTCCAGATATTATATTCATCCTAATATAAATCTCCAGTCCAAAATTCACCCAAATCAGAGTTCATTAGAGCCTTCAAATACGTTCTTCAAGTTTCATCGGCAGATTCGGTCTAGGATCTTGTCGAATTTCTTGAAAATTCTACAGAAGGAATTTCGTGGTGAAAATTTTCATATTGAAACTTCATATATTGAAGATCATTTACACAAAAAATCGGAATATTTGGAGATCAAGAGCACCTTCAAACGAAGCGATCAAGAAAAACAGATTGTTTGAGGACTCACCGTTCAACAGAGTCCACTGGATACTACTGAAGGTATTTGGTTCTGAAATTTTACAGGTGGTTTCTTGACGCATCTAAAGACATTCAAGAATTTTCCCAAAATTTTTGGACACCGGTAACCCCCTCAAAAACGTTGCTCAAGTTGATCCAGCGTTTTTCCAGGTTTCTGGGTTGGTTCTTTTTTTTTCTTTGACTCTTAGTGCTTTAAGTTCTTTTGTTTTTTCTTCTTATTGTTCTTGTGCATTATCTAACACATTATATTTCTTGTTTTAGTAGGACTAAAGAGTTTGCATACTTATTCCTTCCTTGCATTCTCGTTCTCTTAGAGTCTAACCTTTGTTTGGCCTCTTAGAACTTTTAGGTTTTCTTATCGCCTTTGCTAGTAATCAAACTCCGATACGAACTGTGGAAGACTACTTGGTAAAGTGAGTTTTAAAGAGTACAAGATTGACTTACTTGCCTCTCGTTGTGTTACTTTCTTGGAGTGACTTGTGAGGTTTCTTGCTTTGTTTAATTTTTCTTCCTTTTATTTTTATTTTACTTTAAAATTTTCTTTTGAGTATTATGATTTCAGGATGGGCGACAATAACAACAAGAAACTTACGGCTATCTTAGTCGCACTTTCCTGACTCATGACTCAAGTTGAAAGATTTTATGAAATCATGAGAGAACGACAAAATCCACAACTGGATCTACCAAACCAGAATCCAAGACCAAACAATGTTGAACTTGTGGTACCCGGGCGAGAACAACCATATTTTCAAGCACCCAAACTCTTTGCAAAACTAAAGTTCACGATCCTGACTTTCAAAGGAGACAATGATCCAGACAGGTACATCGAATGGGAAGGAAAAGTTGATCTCATGTTCGCATACCATGACTGCCCCCAAGCTAAACGAGTTCACCTCATCACCATACAATTCGAAGGATATGCTCAAACTTGGTGGATGCAAACAAGGAAAAAGATCCAGAACTTCCAAATTCCAACAATCACTTCTTGGACCGACCTCAAACAAACCATGAGGAAGTGATTCCTACCGACACATTATACACGAGAAGTTAAACTACGACTAGACCGACTTCGACAAGGTAGAAGTTCAGTTGAAGAGTACTATAAGGAGATGTAATCCTTACTCAATAGGGCTAACATAACCAAAAAAGAAGAGGTCACCGTGTCAAGATTCATCGTTGGCTTAAACTTAAACATCATTGATCTTCTTGATCTACAAGGGTACGAAAACCTTGAAGACGCACTAAAGAAAGCAATGACAATCGAAGCACAAATCCAAAGGAGACCTCGATTCAGTGAACATTACCAAGGTACTTCATCCTCTTACCAAGGTAATCCTTCAAATCCTTCCTCATCTTCTACTCCATATTCTCTAAAAAAGCCAAGAGATGACAAACCTGACAAGGAGAAAGAACGACCAGCAAAGAATGACACACTTCCAGTCCCTAAAGATCAAATGATAATTTGTGAGAAGGTAGGGAAAGCAAAAAAAGAAAAAGTTGAAAAAGAGGCAAAAGCAAAAGAGGTCACTAGTTATAAAAGCCAAACGAATAATGACCCATGGGAGGTGAGTGAACCTAAATGTGAGAAGAAAAGAGTGACTCAAAATCTATGTGTGAGCATAAAAGAATTGAGAGAGAACCTTCTTTACAAACAGCCTTGCATCCTTGTTCGCTTTAGGGAATCAATTGTTTCGATTTCTAACATTAATAAGGATTTGCCTAGTGTGTTTTCATCTCTTTTACAGGATTTTCGAGAAGTGTTAGGTGATCTACCTAACGAACTACCACTGAAAAGAGAAAAACAACGCCAAACCAATCTAATTCAAGGTTCTATCATACCTCGTCAAACATACAATCTCGAAGAAACCAAAGAGTTGGATTTGTTACAAAAAGGCTACATCCAGGAAAGCCTTAATCGTGACGCCATCTTAATGACAAAACATGATTTGAACAACTCTACAGGCTTTATAGTTCGTGCACAGGAAATCCATGTAAATGATGAAATAGTAAAAGAAACACGAGACTGGCCGACAACATCTTCTATAGCCAAGAGTTGTCGAATATATTAGGTGACCCTCCTGACGGGTTACCACCTGAAAGCCCTAATCATTATGCCATATCAATGAAGAGTCACGATTTACGGGAGTTCAAAGGTAAATATTTTATTACTCATTTTAATGACATTGTAACATACTTCTTCTCCTTCTTACAAGGTAAGGCTCGTGAAGTTGTCATCCATACTAAACACAACTCCTTTAAGTGCGTAGCTGACCGAGGTACGCAAAACACATTAGACGATGCACTACCACGAAAGTATACTCTTAAGCATGCTACTATTCCAAGAATTGAACATATAAAAGATGTATATCACGATAACTCGGATATTTATGATATTTCTACCCATACTTTTAAAAGTGCTTTTAATGAGTTTTATCTTGTATATGAGTTTCCTTGCCAACTAAACAGGTTCTACAATCCACAAATCTCCTACCGAGAATTATTAATTCATGAACCACACTTAGAAAACTTAAGGAATTACTTTAACAAACCAGTTGACATGGTTTTTAAACACTCATTCTCACCACACACGAATAAACCCATGGAGAAATTATCTGAAGCAATCATACAGAAAGCAAACAGTGGTCGACACCATGTTGAATTTCAACCTAAACATCAGATTACAAGACTTGTATGCAAAAGAGGATTTCAAGACTACAAGAAATCAGTTCCTACAAAGAAGAAACCTCGACTGAAATGCATAAAGACACATCACATTGATCCTGGTAAATGTTTCACAAGTTTTCCTTTCAACACATCTAAGTCTCTTTCTCTTGGATTTTCAGATTCGAGGATGAATCCTTTTGAGGAGTGGGGGAATGATACATGCACCAGAGTCCATAATACATGCTTATTTGGACTAATGTTTCTACTCGAACCTATTAGAAGAACAAAGTCTCGAAGATTCAAAGCATATCTATTCGGTAAGTATAATGTGAATGAATCATTAAATGATTCTAATGTTGCTCCCTTTAATGTTTTAGATTCGATGTTGAATATTTTTGAAGAAAGGGAGGATGATACGTGCATCACAAGGCTCACATCAAAGGAATAAGTAATAACTCTTCCAAATGATCCACTCGTCCAAGCATTGGAAAAGAAGATCAGAACAGAGGCAGACTTACGACAACTTTTTGAATGGTATCCTGATCTTATTTGGTTAATATGTCCTCTGGAGATACGACCGTATGTCTCTTATCGTTCCAAAGGTTCTTGAATTGCATCATTCCGATATCGGGAACTCAATATATGACCATTTTACTGAAGACAGTGCATTCAGAAAATCCTATACGGGATTAAAACGGGATTTTATAAATATTACGAATTCTCAATATTTTTATTGATTATTTGTAATATAATTTAATATAGGATGATGTATTATCTTTTAGGATTAGATTTATTATTTTATTAGGAATTAAGGTTGGGTTAAAATATTAATTTTAGTTATTATTATTTTATTAGAAATTAGAGTTAAGACATGTTTAGTTTATTATTATTTTATTCATTAGTTATTTAGGACTTTTAGAACTCAGCCGCTATATAAAGGAGGCTTCATTCAACTTTGTAATCAAGATTTCTTTGATTAATAATACAACGAGAATTCGTTTTTGCAAGTGCTGATTGCCTTGTGCCTTCGAAGCTTCTTCTCCTTGAGTTCTTTCAAGTTCTTGTGAGGGAGATTAATCTTCACACTCCAATTTGTCTTTTCATCGCGAATAGGAGGGTTGGTTAGAGCCATATTATTGTGTTTTCCTTTTCATCGCGACTAGGAAGGCTTGATAGGACATTATCCATCGATTTTCCACATATCCATCCACGTCATCAATCATCTTTACCGTTCACCTTCATAAGGGAGATCTTTTGATTTCTTGGTTATCTTATTTTATTTGCAATTCCTTTATCTTTTCTTTATCTTTTTTAATCTTATTTCTTATCTTGTTTCCAGCACCAAAAAGAAACCCTAAAGAACCCTAACTATTGCCACCTTCCCCTTTCATCCCTTATTGTTCTTCATCGAGTCTAGATCTTTTCTAGGTTTGATTCTTCAAAAAGAGCAACGTTCATCAATCCGCCACCGCTTCCCTATCAACCTGCTAAATAACCAGTATATGAACCCCAAGTTGGATTTTCAAACATTAGAGTATAATATCTACGGTGTAGAAAGTGTCTATGCTGCGGAATATAAAGCGGTGTAGATGGTGGCTGCTGTGAAGGTTTCGATGCTACAACTGAGGAGGAGCCAGAATCGCCTACTCTCCGTCCACGAGTCGGGGGACGATGATATTATGACGGTGGACATCTTTGTCGACGTCGATGAATGTTCCCGCCTCGTGATTCCTCAGAAAGTAGGAACGATTTCCCGTTCCTATTGAACTACTCATAATAACCATATGTAACCGTCAAATGGTCTACATAAATGGGTTCTGTATGGGGAATGTGCCCACGTCGATCATCCCATATCATTACCCACTCATAGTGCTTCAGCATCTAGTCGACTTCTTTTTTTTCGCGTCTGTCAATGATATACAAATCGTCGAGATTTTTAGGTGCTTCCAGAATGGATTGTACAAAACCAAATTGGTGGAGCACGTGATCAGTGGGATGCCACTCGACAATAACATAACATATCAAAGGGACCACCGGCATCCAGACATCTAATGGGTCTCTTAAGTGATATGGGATACAAATCCTCATGTCTTCAGTAATATAAGGAGCCCATTCAAACTAAAAACAAATATATATAATTCTTATCAAAATAATAATCTAATTATATAACGATAATTAAAAATATATTTTTTATTTAAATACATACCTCTGTGCCAGCCTTCTGATCAATGAGTAGCCTAATTTCTTTCAATTCATCAGGTAAATCTCGATGATCTTTTTTACAGTTAATCATCTATTCAATGAAATGATTTTTATTACATACTAAATAAAATTATAAATATACGAAATCAATATTGTAATTACCTTAATAATAGCGAGAAGACCAACGGGTTTTTCACCACCGAACATAAAAAGGGCATGCGATATCACGCCCAAGACTGGAGAAGAAGGAGACATTCATCGATAGCATTTTTTTCTATAGTCAGTAGCTCGACACATTTCCTTATACAGAAATGCCAAAACTGCCGAGCCCCAACTCAGTGTGTCAGCATGATGAAAATCGGTGAGGTGACACAACCACATACAATGAACTTGGTTGCATGACTTTTCCGGCATCATGAGCCCTCCTATGAGTTGTAGTATGCAAGCCCATGCATATATTTTAACCTGCTCCTTCGAGGCGTCGTGACTCAAATACTTGAAAGTTGCATCCAACCAATTTAACAAAATTCAACCACCGTTAAAATTAGGCGGGACACCTCCAAGATACTCCTCGCACAATGAATGACAGTCACCATGCGCACTTCAAAAATCACATCTCCATCTACCGAAAGCCCTAAATGCATGGAAACATCCTCCAACATAATTGTGCACTCTCCACACGGAAGATGGAATGTGTGTGTCTCTGATCTCCACTGCTCATCCAATGCAAAAATAAGGTTGGATTCAAGGTTACAATGCCCTTCATATTTTGCTACATAACCGAATCCAGCCTCGACTAAATACGACCATATACGAGTTGGTATCTCTAACTTAAGATTACGAATGAAGTGATCTAATATACGGTCTTTCTCCTAATTTAATAAATATTATAGAAATTAAATTCCAACTAATACTAAACAAATTAAATAAATAAAATAT